TATGAGCTAATAATATAAAAATGAAAATAAGGATTCATTATTTTGAAATATTGGCTATCATCTATGTAAACATTTAAATTGCAATACTAAAATTAAACATATATATATATAATATGCACACAAAGGCAAACACATAGGTATAGAGTAATAGTCATGTGATTAAAATCACAATCTAAAAGCAACTGCATTTCTTTTCATATTAAAGAAAATACCACACCTGCTGTTAAAAGGGATTTTTGCAAAGAGCTGAAGGGATTTTTGAAAAACCTGAAATAATTCTACTGAGAAAGAAAGTATATTTCACATGTATACTGTACAATATCTTTTTAAATGTGGAAGAGGTTTCAGTCTTTTTCTACAGAAAGACATTAATCTGCAAAAACTGCTAATATGGCTTTGAAATGCAATTTTAAACACAAAGTTAAAGAATGTAATGAACCTTCAGCTAGAATGCTAAGTAAAAGCAAGTGTGTGTGGACCAAGGCACACTGGCATTACTTTGTAGGGCCGATCAATAGATATTAGCTTTAAAAGAGAGATAGAGAAAGGAGCTGCGGCATATTTCTGAAATGACAGGGTGAAGGTTTAAATTGTCTCAATCAAGACGCAATTTTTTCTTCCCAGTTTTTCCAGCTGTTCTCTTCCAGTTAAGGCTCTTCATTTCAAATAAATTTAATTAGTTCCAATTGATCATAGCCAACACTCACAAAGCTTTATCCACGCTTCTTTACTTTTGTAAGGCAAACATTAACAAAGACGGCTAGGCTAAGATTCTGTGCCATAAAACAACAGTTCTACCTCATTCATTCTCACCCGAAAGAACAATTTCAAAAATGATCGCTCGGCCTATAGCAAAAGCACTAAATTGTGCTTCATATTTTTAATGTTATCTTGGTTAGACTGCTTAGCTGCATTGAAGCATTGAGTACCATAAGATTATAAAAAGAAAATGTATTCACCTGTGCATATTAGTATTTGCCTACCTAGAGTTTCCAAACAAATATTCATTCAGAACAACAGGAAACATATCTGTCATAAGATGATTTCTATTTGTTTTATAAGGATATGTTATTGAGGAGATTCATTATAAAGAACGGGGAAAAAAACACAGTTTTCTAAGTGACTGGCCAGAGTGGCCAGTTTCTCCTGTCGTACTTATAGTCTGTACCAGAATCAGATTATTGCGCTTGAAACGGGCTTCTCTCAATGCATCTACCATATTTTTCATAATTCAATTTATATAGGATTCTAGTCAATAAGAAGAAATATTATTTTCTTCTAAACCCTCACAAAAATCTATACCACATCTTAATCAAGTCACACAATCTGAAGGTAACCCAAACGATCCAGGCAGGCGCAGCAGGCAGGCTGCTCCTACAACGTGTTAAGGAAGCCTTTCTTATTTAAATTCTCTGGATATTGAACATTCGTGCCTTTAGTACCCGTGGCAGCAAATGAATGCATCAACTGATCAAAACCTTTCATAACATGTATTTAACTAAACTGCTTACAGACAAAAATGAAGTTTCTGGAGCATCAACTGACTGCTCCAAAATAATGTGCATTTTAAATGCTTGTGGCTTTTTGAAAAACGAAACCACAAAATAAAAATAGGCATGTGATAGATTGCGGGGCAATGTCTTTGGTTGTTCATAATAAAAAAATATGAATGCACTGACTTAATGCTTACTTGAATACTCAAAAATCCAGCTTTTCCCCCAGAAAGCAAACTGTTCTTGTATTAAAGGGATTTCTCCCCTATAAGTTAAATTGCCATTTTTTCTTTTCTTTTTTTTATTGAAGAACCATTGCACTACATCATTAGGCAGCTTTCAGGGGTAAAGCACTGAAAATCAACACCTATAACCCCTTGACCGGTCCCAAGTTATGCCCCATCCTCATTTCCTGCTACCCGGCCTTCTCCCTTCCCTTCTGGTAATCACTAATTGTAAACCACTATTTTATGAACTTGAAGGCCCTTAAATTTTATAGGATATTGAAACATAATAAGGCCTATCTAAAACAGCAATAAAAAGGCAATGAAAACTGAATTTTTAAAAACTGCAAATGCAAAAACATCCTTCAATAAGCACTAAAGCAAATTTATAAACATAAAGATCAAACATCTTTCAGAAAATCTGGAATTTATATTTATATTTCAGCTGAATTTAAATCTCTATGTTTCTATTAAATTTGTAATTCCACGGGATGTCAAAAGAACACCTAGTCGCCCACCCACGAGATGGTCAGACTTCTTCCTTAAAACCCTGAACAAACGGTCTGATGCTCGTGTTCCTGGAGCGAGCGGACACCATTGGGCTACACTAGCATGCTACAGGGACGAATGGAGATGTTACTGGCGCCCGCTCAAGAAAATCGATGAAAAACGGGATGACAAGTGATTACAAGTGATTATATTTCTATTTCAGTTGAAGGACTGTTTTAATCAAATGAATACACTAAAAATAATTTAAAAGCAACAAGTAAGTGTTAACTGGAACATCTTGTTTTCCTAGCATACTGAGTGTTCTCCCATTTATACCATTACTTATGTGTAGCAGTGACAGCATACAAAAGAGGTCACTTGGAGCTGGAGTGACAACACAACAGGTAGGGCACTTGCCTTGCACACAGCCCACCCAGCTTTGATCCCTGGCATCTCATATGGTCCCCTGATCACTGCCAGGATCAATCCTGAGCACAGAGCCAGGAGTAAACCCTGAGCACTGCCAGCTGCGGCCCCTTGAACAAAAAACAAACAAACAAAACAGTGGCCACAGTTTTCAATGTAAATATTTAAGGCGGATCTTTAGGTCACCTCAATTTCTCAGAAAAGGCATTTACAAGGCATTCAGGTGGTAACAGGTAAGAATCTGCCAACATAAGGCTTTAAGAGGAAAAAACAAAAATAAAAAACCCTGGCATTTTCAGTTTGAGCCCTCTCCTCAGTTTGTCTTGAATTTTTTTTTTAATTTTCCTGGCCTCTTTTCAAATTATTGATTAGTGTTAACTACTATTTATTCCAAGTAGTATTATGTTTTCTGACTTAACTTTTTAACTATCCCCACTAAGCACAAAAATTTACTCTTCTTTGTTTTTTAGGTTGATATTATAACATTTATTAAAATGTTATGGATGGGTACGCTGGTATATAGTATTGAAATTAGGTGCATGAAAAACAATTATTAATAGTGCTGTAAGCCACGGAATCTCAATAAAAACAAAATAAGCAACTGTGTATCCCAGAGTGATTCAATAAAAATAAATCAAATAATATCCGCTTGGAGAGAAGTTGCCACCACGCAAACCTGGTGGGCCAGGTCTCCAGATCACTGGAACCTTCTCTGGATGGGGCAAACTGAGTTCCTGTCCTATTGGGGGACCCAGCAGTCCACCCTCACCCACTTCTCACATTTGAACGGCTGCGACCCAGAACCAATTTTAGAGAAAAGCTGCAGCCCTGCCAAACATGGTCCACCAGGACCAGGCGCTGTGACGCTAAACCATCCTAGTGCCCGAGTTGCTGGAGTGAACAGCCGCATACGTGGCCTGCGAACATCTCCAAATTTCACAGTATGACAGCAAAGTAGGAACATAGAAAATTAAACAGGAGAGCTGTGTGTATGCTCACTAAGCTCAATTAGTGAAAACAACAGAAGAGTCACTAGCACCTAACACCTCAGCAACCCCAATATGAAATAATATATGTTGGAACAAGCAATATAAAATAAATTATTTTGTGCCTGATAAGGAGCAGGCTGGGAGGTGGCTGGGTTACCTGAGACACTGGTGGAGGGAATGATGTTGGAATACTAAATATTAAATATGAAATGACTATTATGATCAACTTTGTGAATCACAGTGTATAAAGTTTCAAATATAGAACATAAAAATATTCTGCCAGGGAAAAATATACAAATAAATTCTGTCACTGAAAAAACAAATAACAATGTTATGGGTTAACAGAAACAACAAACATAAAATTAAAATACAAGCTATGTAAAATTCTCAACTAAACCCCAAAGTAATAAAAACAAAAAAATAAAGCTCCAAAGTGCCTAATGTATTCATTCATTAGGTAAATAACTAAAAACCTAAGAAAGAGAAGACACCCAGTATAATAAAGAACTGAGAAACAACTGGCAATATTCAGTTACAAAGTTGTGGATTTTGTATCTTTTTCACAATTATTCTTAATGTCAATAAGTATACCACATTGTTCTTATTCTCTGTGCATTAAAAGTAAACTGAATTTCTGCAGAGATCCAGTAACTGAAATTACTTTAAGCCTAAAGAAAGGTTAAAAGTAAATTTTACTTTATGCTTCATTATGTGATAAATAATAAAGATAAGAGTGATCACTTACTGAACAAAGCAATTAACTTGAAAACCCAGCATTCAGGGGAGGAGAAATAGCACAGCAGGTAAGGCTCTTGCATTACCTGAGTTGACCTTGTTTTGATCCCAGCACCCTATAGGGTCCTCCAAGCCCTGCCAGGAATGATCGCTGAGCCCAAAGTCAACCCTGATCAATGCAAGGGATGGCCCCCAAACCAAAAAATAAAACATAACAAAACGCAGCATTTCTTTCTATCATATAGGTACAAAGAGAACGTTCTCTTGTGCAAGGTATATTACAACTTGAGAATTCTTCACTTTACCTTATAATTGCAAAACCTTTTACAACATTTTTAATAGTGTTTCTGTACATGTTCCAAGGCGTTAGCAATGACCCTCGCTTCTGAATCAGAAGGTCTCCAGGAAACCAAACGCACAGTTAGCAGGTTCATTGTCCCATCGACAATGCACAATCCTGAACCAAACAAACACGTCCACATCTTCCCACTTCAAGGTCAAAGAGGACACAGGAGAGTCACAAAAAGCCAGATAGTCCATCAATACGAGTTTCCACCCTTTCAGACTCGAACAGACTCAACTGCACTCTCAATAACCGACAAGCCCATCTATCATGGGACAGGCTCCCAGACAGCGCTGCTTACCGGTGGTGATGTCATCATCCACCAGGTCATGCTCCTCCTCTTGCACTTTGGCTTCCTGGCCCGCGGCATCTGGAGCGGTGCTCATGGTCTGCAAGGCTTCTGCTGTGACTCCGGCTACAACAAACAGGAGTCCGGGGTTTAGACGACAAGCAAACAGGAAAACAAAGGTGAACCCAAACTCTCAACTCTTTTTGTTAGCTGCCAGCACAGTATATTCTTTAACATACAACCCATCGGGGCTGGAGATAGTTCTGAGGGAAAGTGCCTGCCTTGCACCTGGCAGACTTGAGTTTAATCCCTGGCTTCCCATATGGTCCCCCAAGCCTGTCCAGGGGTGTTTCTTGAGTGCAGAGGCTAGAGACACCTCTGGGCATCACCAGGTATGGCCCTAAAGCAATTCCCTATCCCGTAAATGACAATCTATGAGGCTGGCGAGATAGTATAGCAGGTAGGACACTTGCCTTCCACACAGCTGACTGGGTTTGATCCCCAACATTCCATATGGTCCCTGGAGCCTTGCCAGGAGTGAAACCTGAGCCAGGAGTAATCCCTGAGACTGTTAGATGTGACCCCAGCCACTTAACAGTAATAATAATAATATTAATAATAATAACGATAAAACAAAATAAAGCTAACATTTACATAGCAACAAATTAACAATCTGGATGAAAATTGATCTCACCTAATCAGAGATGTTGGATGATGCTCAACACTAACAACTCCTGCTACTAAATTAGCAGCAGCTCTTTCCAAAGTTCCTTGGGCTATCGCAGAAGGTAGGATAGAATATGACAGCCTAACTGTGAGGAATCACTGAAGCATGTGTGCAAGTCCGGACCCCACCACGCCCTCTATGCAGTTCTGATGCTGTGCCAGGCAGCTGCTACTGAGGACATTCAATAAGAAGCAAACTTGGACATCTCAAAGGCACCAAGGCTGAAAGAACTAGATGTAGCTATACGAAAAATGGCCTTTTGATTCACATATCCTAAAACACCCTAAAGATTATAAAACATCTCATCAGAAAAAAAGAAAATGACAGATCAGTTTTCTCATATATGTGACTCAAAAATCTATTTACAAAATAAAAGCAAACAAATGGAGTGACATAACTAAACATATGAGGGTTTTGGGGTTTTTTTGGTTTGTTTCTATATTTTGGTTTTTCAGACAAGAGGAACCCCTGACAGTGTTGAGGAGTTCCTCTTGTCTCTACACTCAGGAATTACTTTTGGTGAATTTTGAGGTATCTTACAACCCAGGTTAGCCACATGCAAGGCAAACTTGCAAGGCAAACTGTTGTACTATTGCTCCTGCCCCACATCAGATTTAAACCAGGAAAGCAATTCTGGTCCCATATACAAAAATCTATCACAAGTACCCAAAATATTAATGAATCTAAAGAAAACCATAATTACACGATTATAGTAATCATCTGACAAAATTCAGTATCAGTTCATTATTAAAGCAACAAAAAGGGAGACTAACACCCAGGAATGACTGAGATTAGTACCAGGAATTTTGCTCCATGACTGGAAGGCCAGCCACACGTTCTAGGTGAAAAGGAAGCTCAGATAGAGAAGAGAGCACCAAATAAAGGGTATTGTGAGGACCCTCCCAGGGTGGGAGAAGCATGCTAAAAGTATTCTATAGACCAAACATGATTGCCACTCAATGCCTCTCTTGCAAAACACAGTACCCAAAAGAAGAGAGAGAGAACAAGGGGGAATACCCTGCCACAGAGGCAGGATGGGACGAGGGGGATGGAGGGTGGGGGGGATGCTGGGACCCGTGGTGATGGATGACGGGCACTGGTGGAGGGATGGGCACTTGATCATTGTATAACTGAAACCCAAGCACAAAATTTGTAAGCCTATAATTGTACCTCATGGTGTTTCACTAATAAAAAAAGAAAAAAGTGTCATCTATCCTATTACAGAAGTAATTATATAATCAAAACTATATGGTTTTATGTGAGCGGAACAAATATAATTCAGAAAAAGGAGCATGTAAAAATATGCTTAGTTCATGCTGAAAGTAGACTATATACCAAATATGATTGCCACTCAATGCCTCTTTTGCAAACCACAACACCCAAAAAGCGAGAGAGAACAAAAGAGAAAGCCCCACCACAGAAGCACCACAGAAGCAGGGTGGGATGGGGGATGGGGGATGAGAGGGATACTGGGATCTATGGTGGTGGAAAATGGGCACTGGTGGAGGGATGGGTATTTGATTATTGTATAATTGAAACCCAAATACAAAAATGTGTAAGTCTACAACTGTACCTCATGGTGTTTCACTAATAAAAATTTTTTTTAAATTGAAAAGGAAAAAAAATATATGCTTTGATTTTTTTCAAATCAATGGAGAAGGGTTAGTCTCTTCAAAAAACGGCTTGAACAAATAGCTATACAGTCATGGGGGAAACACGCAAATGTTGACCCCAGGTTCACATACTGTACATAATCAACTAAAAAATAAAAATACAGTTTTAGAAAATGAATAGCCAGGGACTGGAGACAATACAGTGGGTAAGGCTCTTGCCTAGCATGTGGCAGACCTGGGTTAAATCCCTGAACCCTACCAGGAGTGATCCCAGAGTGCAGAGCCAAAAGTAAATATGAAGCAGCACCAGGTATGGCCCAAAATCAAACAAAAACTTTTTAATTAATTTTTTTAAAGATTGGCAAAATAGTCTAACTTCAGTCAAAATGGATATTGAGCTGAACAATCCAAATCTTTTTTTCCCCACTGTCTGTCTGTCTCTCTCTGTCTCTCTCTCATCTTGCTTTTTTTCCTTTTTTTTTTTTTAATTTTTATTAGTGAGACACCATGAGGTACAGTTGTAGACTTACAATTTTTTTGTTGGAATAGATAAAGGCAAAAGAAACAAAGAATGGAGAAATCAAATTACTAAAGAAATATTATTTAATCCACAGTATTAAAAACATCAAAGGAAAAAGAATGTATTAAAAAATCCCTAGCAATAATTTAACTATATTATCTATAGTATTTAGTAACTTTCTAGCAAGGTCTTATGAGAATAGGCATATATACAGAAGACACTGAATGAAAAGCAAATCTGCAGGTCAGAAATCAAACTGGTGGCCCAAATCTTAGGGTGCGGTCAGAGGACTAACTATGAAGTAGAATGAGCAAATTTTTTTTTAATGAAAATAATCTCTATCTAAAAGTGAGAATAGGGATATGACCAATGTCCCACTGCTTTTAAACTCACAGAATGCACACCAAGGGTGAATTTACTATAGATAAGTATAACCTCTCTGTATAAAAGTTAGACTTTTAAGTATACAAGAGAAGGTACTACATCACAATCACTCAAGACACCCTAGTAAGACTATGCCAAAATGAAACCCAAAGACTAAAAAAGTGATCTTTCTTTCTGGTACAACAACCAAAATTTTAGAAGACTAAATATCTAATTTCTACTATCTATGAGATGATGAAATATTTCTGAGGAAATGTCCTTATGTTTATTAATACTTTCTTCTTTTGGCCAACCCAATAGTGCTCAGGAGTTAATTCTGGCACTGCACTCAAGAATTACTCCTGGCAGTGCCTGTGGGACCATATGGCATGCCGAGAATCAAACCTGGGTTAAGACATGTGCAAAGCAAATGCCCTACCTGCTGTACTATCTCTTCAAACCCTCTTAATACTATCTTATAAGCGATGCAAGGTGCATACTTATGTTAATCTGTTTCTTGTATATCTCAAAATCAGTATCTTAAATGTTGTCAATTACATGGCGTGCATGCTGTGCCACTTTCTTCTGCTCTTGATGAAGTGAGATTACTGGTCAAATTATACAATAAAATTCTAGCACTAGCACTATCCTCCCTTGTTCATTGATTTACTCAAGCGGGTCCAGTAACGTCTCCACTGTGAGACTAGTTGTTACTGTGTTTGGCATATTGAATACGTCACGGGGAGCTTGCCAAGCTTTGCCACGCGGGTGAGATACTCTCGGTAGCTTGCCGGGCTCTCCGAGAGGGGCGGAGGAATCGAACCCACTAGGCCGGCTGCGTGTAAGGCAAACACCCTACCACTGTGCTTTTCCCAAAATATTTGGCAATCATAAACATCTCACAAAGCTTCAAAAGATAGAATCTGAATAAAAGAGTACCTTCAATCCAGTGACACAAATTACATTATTTAAACCTACTAAAAATTATGGGCTAGAGCGATAGCACAGCGGTAGGGCATTTGCCTTGCATGCAGCTAGCCAGGCCGAGCTGGGATCAATTCCTCCGCCCCTCTCGGAGAGCCTGGCAAACTACCAAGAGTATCTCACCCGCACGGCAGAGCCTGGCAAGCTCCCTGTGACATATTCGATATGCCAAACACAGTAACAATTAAGTCTCACAATGGAGACGTTACTGGGCCCACTCGAGCAAATCGATGAACAACAGGAGAACTGTGAATCATGACTGAATAGTATAGTATATGCAGGGTCAGAGATGTAGCTGTACAGGGCCGGAGCGATATTACAGAGGGGAGGGCATTTGCCTTGCATGTGGCTGACCTGGGTTTGATCCCCAGCATCTCATATAGGCCCCCAAGCACTTCCAGGAGTGATCCCTGAATGATGAGCCAGAAGTAGCCCCTGAGCATTGCCAGATGTGACCCAAAAAGAAAAAAGAAAAAAAAAGAGATGTATTTGTATAACACTTGCAGTGCAAGTGTGAGATCTTGGATTGGATCCTGGAACCTCCAAATAAAACAAAAAACTAAGTGTGCTTTGGGAAAAAAATAATAAGAAGGCACAATAAGGAAATTATAAAGAAAAAGAAAACATAATGGAAAAGTGTAACATACCTAACCTTGAATCCAGATTTCACAAAATTACAACAACAAAAGGGTGCACGTACATTATGGCAGACAATAGATCCTATATAGTAAATCAGACAATAGTTCTATATAGTAAATCAGGAGGAAAAGGTGGAGGAAAAGAAAAACTCATGATTGAGTAAATTTGGATAAAGCGGGAATGGGTTATGGCTTTGGAGGTGGGTGGGAGCTGGCAAGAGACATGAAGCAATGAAGAACAGGGGGGACCATTAGAAGACCCTCATGTCTTAAGATGTAGA